TTCCTGCAGAAAAAGGATGGCTGACATTTTTAATTTTGGTATAGCCATGCCACCCAACATCCTCCTCTTAAATAATTAGCCCCATCTTTAAAGTGTGGAAGAACGATCGCTGCTGGAATTCCCTCCCGCTAAAGCACCCGTGTCCTTTGCCCTCGGTGAGTTGTCTCCATGAAGGGTTAATTCAACCAGAGTCTTTTACTCCAAGTTGTTTTCCAAGAGGCTGAGAGAATAGTTCTCTTGTTACAAACATGGCTTCTGGGCATTTGGTGATGCTTTCCCTTTTCTTTCTCTCTGTGCCACAAAGGAATCTTTTGTTTCCTCTTCTGTGTCTCTCTTACCCCCCCATTACCCGGCTCCCGCCTCTTCCCCCCCATAGCTCCCACTTGCAGCATCACTGCCACCCGCTCTGAGCATAGCCCCCTATCTAGGAAGAGGCCAGTCCAGCCCTTGGCCCTGAGCCCACAGTGAGCAGTCCACCCTCAGCCTACACACAAATCTGGGAGGCACATGCCCCCCCTGCCTCCCCACACCCCCAAATGAGCCACCCACAGCTCCGTGCCATGCCCTGCCCCATCCTGGCTGGGCAGCACCTACCTCTGACTCTGCCCCAGCTCCATTCCCTCCCTCACCATGGGGGCCTTGATCTGGCCCCCCACAGATTTACCAGCCAGACAACTGCTCTCCAAGTTGCTGGGCTGCACTCCCAACTGCATGCATGCTGCAGCTGCAAGCACGCATGTGGCATTTATCTGTGACATTATTGGCCACAGCAGCCAAAAATAGCCAACTGCTGATAATGTAACTTTTTCTTTTATTGGTGCTGATACAATATGGACCAATGTATCAATGCACCTCTATCTTGAACCCAAGCCCAGGGCCAGCACCATAGCAATGAATTTTGTCACCTGGGGCAAAGCCTGCAGTGACAGCCTGCCCTCACCCTGTACAGAGATCTGGGGGGCACATGCCCCCCACCATGTTTGCCTGGGGGTGCATGCAGCAGTGGGAGCTACCCTTCCCCTGTCCCTGCGCCTCCCCAAGCAAGCCCATCGCAGCTCCATCCTGCACCCTGCCAGTCATGACACTGTTGCTACTGGGGTCTCCATGGAAACCAGCTGCAGCAACTAGGCAGGGGACTTCTGGGACACAAAGTCCAGATCCGCCATTTTGCCCGCCCCTGTATTAGAACCTCCATACTCTCCATCCTCAGAGTCCAAAGGAAACCCACTTTACTGCACAGGGAACTTAATACCTTGCTAGTGTTACGAGGATAAATTCTGTAACGCAGGCCACAGCAGAAAAGACTCTAAAACCCAAGACCCACAGAGTAATAAAAGATATTCATTAAATGCAGGGATTTAAAGACTGAAAGGCTGGAGGGAGTGAAAAATATTACCCTTAGCTTATTAGCTGATTTACACATAGCTGAGAACGGGCATTTATAAGTATAAGTAGTGAGAAGGGGAAACTATATTTAGTTAATAGGCTACATTATGCAATACAGTAAGCTCCTAGGCAAGGCTCCATTTGCTTCATTCTTTCCTTCCTGCACAAAAGGCTTGCCTACTAGTTACATATTAGATGACAGGAAACACTATGTCATCACAACTATTAGATATTAGTACTTACTCAAAAAGCAAGGTTTGAGATGTTCAGATATTAATAATATGGCTCACCTGGGATGTTACAGGATCAAACACCTATTACAAGTATAATTCATGGAGACTCATTTTGAATTGCATGCTCTTAAATTCAGTTTCTTTCACTGCATTAAGAAAAGTAGTAAAACACTGTTTGTATAACCCTCTAGTACTGCTTCAAAGGCTAGTTGCACAGCAGGCTGTTGCACCTATACAGATAAGCAGAAACCATGAAGATGTTTTTATCCTACCCAGAAAAGCAGTGCAAATGGAGCACTCTGGTGATTTCACAATGAAGAACACTGTCTTTTCCCAGCCTCTCTTTTAGCAAGATGTTTCCTAAATAACTCAAGCTTGGTATCAGAATTAACTTCCTAGTAAAAGTCATCGTCACTGGGGCTGTCATCAAGAAGCCTTACTCACCAAATAGATCCAAGGAAGCTGTAACCATTTTTCTTCATGGCTTGACGGGAAGTCCTACAAACCACTCCTCTGTCATAGCATGACATGGACAAACACTAAAAACAACTATACAATGCTACTCAAAACAAGGGACACTCGGAGTTCTCTAAATGTGGTTAGAGCAGTAGTTTTTAACCTTTTCTCATCTGCAGACCCCTAAAAATTTTTGAATGGAGATGAATTATAATTGTGGCTATTCACGTATTTCTTTATCATAGTCATCTTTTGTGGACCCTTAAGACAGTCTGCAGACCCTGGAGGTCTGCAGACCACAGGCTGAAAACAACTGAGCTAGAGGTTTGCTACCAGATGCAAATACCTGGAAGTTTTCTCATTTCACAAGTGGACTGCACAGAAGTTTAACTTTAAAGCATTAAGGATGATGCCAACTAAAAAAAAAAACAAAAAAAAAAAACCTCTCCCCTCTTTATACAGCCTAAGCATAGACATGCTTCCTGAAAGTTGGCTTCCTAAAATGTTGGTCAGTATGCTAACGGATTAAAAGCCTTGACCCTGAGATGGCAGCTTCTAATCACTTAATCTTAGAGCCAAAACAGGGATATACAGTAAGTGATGGAATTACATGAATGGTTTGGAAGTGTGATCTCTTTGAAACCCACACAGATTTTTTTAATGCACAAATCAGAAGCCAGACAAAAGAGATTTGAAAATTTACTTATATTTGGAACAAACAGAAATGTAAGTGGAGGTCTATAATGTAACCAAGCCAAGAGATGGATTGCTCTGCTCAGAGGTCAATAACATCTCATTATAAGCCTATTTCCTAGTCCCCCAATGGGCAAACAAACAACTTGTGTTTAACATTTTTTCAGAAGGATGCAACCAGGAAAAGATGTAGGTGTTTCACAGAAATAAGCTTTATGCAATGGAAGTCAACCAGATTTGCGGTGAACGTGCAAAAACGATGCAATCTACTCTCAAATACATTGTCTCCACTACTCTTCTGACGGTCAAACATTTAGTGTTACCAAACACAAAGGACCGGTTTCACATTTGGTCTCAGCAATGAAGTTGTCCCTTGACTTCAATACAAATTCTAAAGAGAATTGTTGGCTCTTGTTGCATGATTATGATAAGCAAAGAAAAGGTAAGTCTTTCCTACTCTCATTCAGAAAACTAACAAGCTTAGATAAATGACTAATGGCTTCTGAAGGTTCCATTTTAGTACTACGGTTCATTAATCAGCTGAACAGTATTACAGGCATAAGCAAGCCTGTGTCCATTTCCAAATTCAGTCTCATGTGAAACATGCCACAAAATACAATAAAAAGAACACAGGTTTTCCTGGTGAGGTACAATGCTTAATTAGAATGTATATATTACCACACCTGCAATCTAAGCCCCTATTTTAGAAGGTGTGTCAGATTACTTGATCAGTAGGGCCCTATTGCATTCACAGCAGAAGTGGGCTGCACGGCAGCTCCTTTAACCTTGCAGGTGCCCCCCCCCAGCCACTCCTGATCAGCAGAAAGGCAAAAACCACAATTTTAAATATGGCGTAATGTTTGCCTCCTGGCCAGTCAATAGCAAACAGCAGGGCCACTGGGACCCTCAGCCAATCATCAACTTGGGGGGGGGGGGGGGGGGC